GGGGGGGGGGGGGGGGGGGGGGGGGGGGGGGGGGGGGGGGGGGTGGCATAGGTGCGGGGGATTGCAATCCACGTGCCCTCCTGTGCTCTCTCTCAAGGGGCCCCGCACTTGCACCCCCAATAGCATACCCCCCACGTATATATACTCTCCTGATTGGATCTTGTATCCAAGTACCCCAAACACATATGCATAAAAAAAAACGTTCTGTTGCACTTATTGGTTTTCTCCTTCCTGTCGCCGCCCTTCGCACAACTCCTCTTTTACTGGACCTGATACCGAGGGGACGTCGCAAGGATGGCGAGGTCGCTTAGCGACCCTCTTGCCGCTGTCGCCGTGAGAAATTCCAGCAAGAGCGTTGCGCCTCCTTACGCGTATGTTCACCATTCCGGGCTTAGCATGAATAGCACACACCTCCGGCCGTATTTCAAGCTCGCCGCCGTAGCTCGCAGTCGTCTTGCAGCCAGGGTGACGACAGACATTTCTGTAGACATTCACTATCATCCCCTTCTCTTTGTGCAGCGAGCAGTACGCTGCCTGCTTGGAGCCGTCGACGGCAAAGCCAGGTCTTTTCGTGCATTGCGGGTGGATGCAAATCTTGGTGTGCAAGTTCACCATCTCTCCTTTCGCGTGTCGCGAACAGAACTCCGTTCGTCTGATGGTGCTCATCCCGAACGCCGCCTTTTTCGTACAACCCTCGTGGCAGCACCTCTTGCTGTGCACATCGATCATGTTTACCTTCGCGTGCTTGCTGCAAAACTTTGGGCGTCTTGTGCCCTGCTCGGCATAATGAGCACGGTTGATACAACCTTTCTCGGCGCACTCTTTTTTCGACAAGTTTTCCATGCCCTTCCGCGCGTGCGTGATACAGAACTCGGGTCGCGTCGAAGGATTTGCACCGAAGCTCGGACTCACAACGCAGCCTGGGTGCTTGCACCTGTGCCTACTGACGTCGACTAAGCCCTCTGGTGCATGCTCCGCACAGAACTGTGCCCTTCTAGTCCCACTTTCTCCAAAGGACGGGTTTTTGTTGCAGGACGGGTGGCCGCACCTGGCGAACAAAAAAAACAGGCGGGACAGAATCCACGAGGCATGCGCCAATCAGACTACTTGTATTTCTTCATCACACTCACTGGTTTATCACCCCCCCCGCCCTTAGCCTGGAAGTAGTCCACGGTTCTCGATTACATCCTGGTAGATAGGGGAAGCACACAGATCCCAGAGTTTCACGCAAGTGCGATAGATACAGGCTCGACCTCGTATGGACAAACATCGACCGACCTCGAAGGTGGAGACCAAGAAACAGAGGAAAACGTACAGTTAGAAAGTAGAGCGGTTGGGAGACGAGGGGACACGCGATGAATTCCAGAAGGGACTGGCTGGTAGTATGCAAAACTTCAGGAAATTGCTGGGCAGCGCTGAAGACGGACATGTAGACATACAAGCAGCAGGGGACAGAGTGATCGAAGGGTGAGAGTCCATAGTGAACACAACGGCAGAGTAGTTACAAAGAAGGTGGTACGATGTGGGGTATCGGTTAAGTGGTGGGATGACGAGCTGAAACAAGGAATTGGGGAACGTAGAGAAGTCTTTAAGCAGTACCCTAGTCACGGGTCGGAGGGGAGTCGGGAAATGTTCAGGGCCAAGAGAAAACAAGCGAAGGGACTACTAGTGAAAAACAAAAAAACAATGCATTTGGGACGAAGTTGTGCAGAAGGCCAACGGAGGCCTGGACGGGAACGGCAAGCAGATGTGACAAGGGATTACGTGGAATGGTAAAAAAGACTGAGCAGGGGGGGGATACAGGAGTAACAACTTTGCGACGTTGTTGTTGTTTCTCACATTACCTCCATAGTCCACAAAAAATGGGGAGCCCGTGGTCTCAAAACCCGGCACATACGACGCCGCGAGAAAACAAAAAAACAAAAATAGGGTACAAACCACTCGGAAAAAGAAAACAAAATGATCGAAAGAAAAGAACAGGTATCGCACCGACCGTTCGAGAAAAGAGCCCTCGGACACCGATCCAAATAAAACAAAACAAAAA